CTCTGGAAATTTTACAAGTGGTCTTTTCTAAAATTTATTCGGTGTGTCACAGAAAAAGTAGGGTTTCTCTGTTTCATATTCTTCCATCTCTAAATGATTCACATTTTGCCTTCAGTGTATTTCTTGTTTCCTCCCCTCAATTTAACAAGACTTAAAAGAACTTAGACATGTAACAGTGATGTTTTCTGTAATTTCAGTTCCCTTCCTGATGAAAAATGAAACTAAGAGGAATGCAATTGTTATCAGACAGACATAGCCCTTGTATATTTACAGTTAGTTGCCCCACCTTTGTTTCATGGCATATCAGTTGTAAACACCATCATTGCCCCATCTGCCAGGTCACTGGGATTCTGATTCTGAAGGCTTGGCATGGAAATCGAGGCTTTTGTGTTTTGAAAAGGCTCCCTGGGGGAGTTTGATATGCACGCCTTATTAAGAATGAATGCTTAAATATTGGAATCAAATCACAAAGCTTTCTAACTATGTTGAAAAATCCAATAGATTTAATTATGATTTTCATTTTGTCCAATATTAAAACTAGATGTTATTTGCTACAAAAGTAGATAAGGATGCCAATGACAAGTGTATATTAATTTAATATCAAACCTTAAAATGTTCATTGCCAATGAATAATTCATTACCTATAATAAGTATACACTATAGAATTAAAATTAATGGTTTTCATTGTGTGAATGAAGCTATTGAGACTTCATGTTTAATGTAAATTGAATGCTATCTTTTTCTGCCTCATAAGCTAAGCATGGCACAGCAAATAAAATTTTTATTTACCATTTGATCTGTTTTTTCTCTTATGCTTTATAACTGAAAATTCTTCTTAAGTAGAACATACACTGTAAATATTTCTTTTTGAATACAAAGTCTTCTCACACAAATTCAATACACTATTTAATGAGGTCTTCTTTTGCAAAGTTAAAAAAGAAAACTAAAGGCTTTGATTTAGGATTCTGTATAAATGAGATTAAGAAATAATAATTTTAAGTAATTACTCCATTTTTAGCTACACAATACTATCTTATCTGCAATATGGAAATAATAAAATCCTTAATTGGTTCTACAATTGAGCAGTAAAAGTCACCGTAGACATCAGCTGGGAGATTCAGCACTAAGATCAAAACTACCAATGGATGTGTTTGACATAAAAAACCTGAAGTGGTTTTATCATTGTGACCAGCAATAAAAATTCTTTGCATACAGAAGATTCATGACATTTACTTTGCAACCTTACTATGCAAAGCTTTGTCTGTGTTGGCCCTATTCCCCTCCTCTTAGAGAGAGTGAGAAATATAGAATCCCTGTCCCTCTGTAGACCCGATGAGGCAGAATCTTCAGTTTAACTAGCTCTATATAAGTTTCCTTTAATAATTTTAAATTTTATTATGATAATTTATTCATAAGTGAATGTTTATTTTGTAATACAAGTACATCATATTGTACAAAATTTATTCTTTTTTTCCCAAAATTCCTTCTTGTCACTCCACAGTACCTCTCAAATTTGTGTCATCTTCTATAATTCTGAGTCTTTTATTATTACTGAGTCCAGTAAGTTCTTGTGTCCTGGGCATTTTTACAACTATGAGCTTCAAATCTCTGAATAATTTTGAGCAGCATGCGATTGTACAAACATGAAATATAAGAATGCTTTCTAACTGCCTCCATGCTTACTCTTTTAGGCAAAGCTTTTCCCTTCAGGAGTCTCATACATGCTTGCATGATTCTAGTTGCTTCCAAACCCTGGTGATTTTATTGAACATCTCATATTACTTCCAGACTTTTCTTTCCTAACCCTTTGTCCAATTTCTAGTTTAGCTTCAATAACCTATCTTCTAGGTGCCTATACTTGGCTACGTTGTCTGCCTCATCATTAGTTCATCCTTCTTTAGAATAACTCAGTAGCAAAAAAGGCTTAGTACTTGTAGAATTTTTTTTTCAGAGTGGAAGGCTCTCTCTCTCCCTCCCTCTTTCTTTCTGTATCTCTCTCCTTTCTTCCTTCCCTTTCAATTTTTATTATTTAATCAAGGATTCACGTAGCTCAGACTGCCTTTAAACATTTTGACCCGTACACCTCCACCTCCAAATTAGCAGATACTGAGATGACAGGGAAGTGGCACCACACAGAGCAAGAAAATGAGTTGTCTTCAAACGACTTTCCATGAATTATAAACTCCATAATAAAAATAAGATATACTCTGTTTATCCGCAATACATACCCATGGTTATAACTCTGCTTACCCTCACATTCTCATAATAGCAATATAAAACCCAGGTTATTTAATTGCAAGAAATAGACTACAAAATTAGTGAAATAGATTGTCTACAAAGGTCCTTGCATTTTGATATTATCTTCCTCTCCCTGAACCTCTATATGACTAAGTGCTAGCCATTTATCAACTCCCAAACTTCCTTAGAATCCTTTTGTATGTTTCCTAATAATTACTTCATTCTTCTTCTGATTTATCACATATTAAGAACCTTCATGTCTCTGTCTTATTGTTTATAAGAAATTGTAACTCACAACTGTACAACTGTTTCTAATCTCTTCAGCTAGAATACTTTTTGTTTTGTTTTGTTTGGGGGGTTGTTGTTGATGTTTTTGTTCTTTTGGTTTTTCAAGACAGGGTTTCTCTATGTAGCTTTGGTGCCTGTCCTGGAATTAGCTCTTGTAGACCAGCCTGGTCTTGAACTTATAGAGATCCACCTGCCTCTGCCTCCTGAGTGCAGGGATTAAAGGTGTGCGCCACCACTGCCTGTCTTCTTTTATGATTCTTTTAGTGATGCAATGATACCATTGTGCTGTGTTTTATTGGGCTAGCTTCCTTTCATCTCTTTCATTCTTCTTGCCTTTCTATATTCCTTCCTTTCTTGTATCCATTTCCCTTAATTCACAGATCTAGTCACTGAACAGATACTGATTGAATCTTCTTATACAGCTAGGTGGTGGTGGCGCATGCCTTTAATCCCAGAACTTGGGAGGCAGAGGCAGAGGCAGAGGCAGAGGCAGAGGCAGAGGCAGAGGCAGAGGCAGAGGCAGAGGCAGAGGCAGAGGCAGAGGCAGAGGCAGAGGCAGGTGGATCTCTGTGACTTTGAGGCCAGCCTGGTCTACAAGAGCTAGTTCCAGGACAGGCTCCAAAGCTACAGAGAAATTCTGTCTCTAAAAACCAAAAAAAGAAAAGAAAAAAAAAAACAGAAAAGAAAGAAACTTCTTATGCACCAGATAGAGCATTCTGAGTAAGACACAAAAAGCGGCCTTATTTCTATTATTATATTGTAATAGGAATGCAGGCACAGTTTGTTAAGACTAGTGTCTTGCTACCAAGTAATAGTTACTAATACCTACAGTGGCGATATGAACAACTAGAAAAGTGTGAAATGTAACTGATGAGTCAGGTTGGCTAGTTGCAAGAGAACATGACATGTTTATACATCATGTATTATGTACTGTCAGGAGTATGGTCAAGACAGCTTGTAAAAGTTGAAGAAGGCGTGTTTTCATTTTTATTGTGCTGTGATATGACCATCAAATGAAGACCTTGATAACATTATTGTTGATTTTTGAGGTTATTTAATTGCAAGAAGTAGACTACAAAATTACTGTATTAAAAAGCTACTAGTAGGAGCTAGAGAGGAGGCTCAGTGGTTAAGGGCACCTATTGCTCTTGCAGCAGACCCAGGTTCTATTCGCAGGTGATCTGATACACTTTTCTATCATCGGCAGGCACATTCATTTATGTGGTGCACATAAATTCATGATAGCAAATACATGTAAATATTAAAAACATAAATAAATAAAAACTGTAAAAGTGGGATTAATAAAATAGTTTGACACTGAAGAATGATTGAAGTTCTTATAGAGAGATAATTAAGTTTAAAATCAATTTTAATTCTTTGACTTGGTAGATATGTATAAATGTCTGTTAATAACCTAGCTGGTATTGCATGAACAAGTAAAGGGATATGTGAATATTAAATTATTTAAATCATATGTCTGAGCAAGAATAATCTGTGTATTGTTAAAATATTGCTAGTCACACAAGGATTTGGGAGCCGTTTAGATTTTAATATGAAATTATCTCAAGTTTTTACTTTGTACTTCAGATTTGCCAATGTGTTATTTTCCTTTAAAATTCTAAATTATCTCTTAGATAGGTTTACAGAGAAAGGAATGCAATTTGTATTTTTAATGGTAAAAAAATCATTCTCATTTTATTCATACTTGGTTGTAATCATTTCTTTCTTAATGGAACAATTTCCTGATACTTTACTCTTAAATTTCATCTATGATAAAATGTAGAATATATGAAAGGTTGACACCACCAATGACTCATGAAACTGTTCTGATAGCTGTAGATTATTTTCAGATTTATTACTATACATTAGAGGTTTCTTGATGGGTTGCCCTGAAAGCAGTTAATATTCAGTTTTATGTGGTTTTTATAATGCAAAATAGATTGGTGCAAACAGAATTTGAAATAAATGCCTTTAATATAGTAATTACTTTTATTTAAAAAGCTCCAGAAGGTTTTAAAAAATACTATAGATAAAGTACGTTTGTCCTTTTCACCTTTATATTGGCAACCAACTAAGAAATCCAAAGACTTGGTACATGTTTAAATTTTACAACGCTTCATAGACTATTAAACATAGAACATCCTTGTGGGGACAAGAAATCGAATTTGCTCTTGAGAAGGTTTCCAATTAATTGATTTGTAGGACATGGTAACATCCTCTTGCTGACAAGCTTACAAAACAAACCCTCCAGCAGAATTGAGAAGGAGCTTTCTCACTGACGTGAAAGTTGTCTTTCTGTCTTGTAGCCTTTGGATGTGGGCATAGCAAGTTCGTGGAGCGGCTTTCACTGTGAGCCTTTCGATTTCTTCCTCTCGGTGGAACTGTACATGGGAGCATATTGTTTAAACTTTTTTTTTTTCAAGTTAAAGGACTTGGGGTTTCATTTTTGTTTTGTCGTTCTTGGTGGCTTACAGGAACTCCAGGATGGCATTGGACAGCGGCAAGTTGTTGTCAAAACACTGAATACAACTGGAGAAGAAATAATTCAACAGTCTTCAAAAACAGATGCCAATATTCTCCAGGAGAAATTAGGAAGCTTGAGTCTGCGGTGGCACGAGATCTGCACACAGCTGTCGGAAAGGAAAAAGAGGTAGGGAGCAGGGGGTTTTAGCAGAGCGAAACTGTCCTTTCTAACATGTCATTTCAGAATATATTAGAAACTGGGTCAAGAAGTCCATGAAGTTAATCAATAGCAACAAAGATTTTTTTTTTTCTCTTAGGGAGTAAGATGCATACAGTTGCACTCTGTTTCTTTTCAGTTGTTTTAAACTTCCAAGCTTGTGTTTTAAAATAAATCACACAGCTATCCTCTTCCCTCATCTTCTCCTCTTCACTTCTCTGGTCCCCTCTAGGCCCTCTGAATGTGGGTGACTTTTGTTTGACTGGGTCAGTCTGTGGGGCCACTGGCAGTGGCACCAGGATTTATCTCTCATGGTTGAACTGGCTTTTTGAAGCAGGTTCTCTTTGATGGGGTGCTTTGTTTAGCCTAGATATGGGGGGTTGCCTCAAAAAGACTTTGTTGACACCCAATGGGAGGCCAATTATTCTCTGAGGAGTGGATGGGCAGTAGGGTTGTGGAAGGCAGGGTGGAGCAAGGGGAGGTGGGAGTAGGAACTGGGATTGGTATGTAAAATGAGAAAAAAGAATGTTTTAAAATTAAAAAAAAATAAAAATCACACAGGATCGCCTAATGTGAAAATCTTCAGTGTATTCCAACATTAGCAAGCTGAATTTCAAGTATTTTTTTTCTCCAAAAATGATGGTGAAAAGGGGCAATTATAAATAAGTGTTCTGTAGGAAAGATAGGTAGTTTATAAAATTTTAACAGCAATGCCCAAGAATTTACTGTAAAAATGATGGTATTGTTTAATATTTGTTCAACTACATTTACTACCACAATTTTGAAAAGCTACTTAGGTCAAATATCTTCAAATTTAAAAGAAAACTAAAACATAGAAAAAACAGTTGTATTCAATCACCATTTAACTTCCCCTTAGAATCTATTGAGTACACTGGAAGGCAAGTGTGTGCTGTTGGAATTGGAGTGCACAGAAACTTTATACATTAGATTTGGAATTCTTATTCCAGTTATGGATGTTAGTGGTTATTATTGTATAAGGAAGGACCTTGCCTTTATTTACCAAATAAGACTATAATGATAAATAGTGAAAACTCAGTTCTATAGCTGGGTCACTACATCATACACATGATCTGCCTAATATAAAGACATATATAATAATACAGACACAAAAGTTCTCATGCATACATTATATATACACAAAAGTTGCCAAAGATAAAGAATAATATCATGATCTGAATACATTTTAATTAATCTTTATTTTAAATTGTATTTTTTTTATATTGAGATGAAGTAAAGACCCCCAAACCCATTTCTAAATAAATTTCTTGGGTAGTTCTATCCTTTTTTCTATGCTTGAAATCCTGGTATTAATCATACAACCATTCTATTAATTAATATACTAATATGTTGATACGCCAAAAGTTTTAAATCCGTATAAGTGTCACTCCTGATGTGAACTCAACATGGTAAAAATAAGATGGTAAGAAATAAGTAGATTAATCATACTGGCATGAAATGTTGTAAAATAGATTTTATGAAGACCTTATATTGATAATTAAATTTTTCGGAAGATTGTTTTTATATCAATTTTTGTTCTTGCTTTTATGAATAATAGTGTTTGAACAAACCATATTCCCAGTTTTCTGATGCATGTGAACCTGAGTGACTAAAATCTTATCTAGTTACTTCTAAAAGGAAGTTGTCATTTATAAATAATTACTGGAGCAGTATATCTGTTCACAAAAAAAGGTTTGAAATTTTATATTCATCTAATATTATCGAACTATTTTGTATTGACTTTGTTGTAAAATATTATCCAAATTGTAGATTAATCACACAGCTATGGATGTAGCAAGAATTGATTAGAAAGGCTTCTCTTGTTTATGTATTTTAACCTACATTACGTACTGTACTTTTGTCCTTTAGAAAATCAAGATCAGCTTTTGTAAAGTTTTAAAAACTTGACTATTATAGCTGTCTATTTCATATCACATGTTTCCAAAATAAAAGTTTTCATGCTCATCCATCCAGTCAGATCAGTTTTGTGACAGGGTTCCTTGAATTTTTTATATCAATTAAGTTTTGTGAAATGTAAATATTTTTCAAACTGGTCAAAGTGGCAGGTTCTTCAAGTTCAATCACTGTTACTTCAAAATACACATTAGCAAATGTACAAATAAAGCAATACTTCAACAATAATATGTTAAAATGGAATTTAAAGGGACTGCAATCATGAAACTATTGTTCTTCAATAGCCCATTTTTAGTACAACACCAATGGAAGTAAAGAGGAAGTTATTTCTACCACAGAAACAAAATAACATGTCTCTGCCATATAATTTTTTTTTTATTTGTTATGACCTATAAATCAGAAATATTGAACATTCCTTAGTCCAGAGTACATATGAAGAAAGTAATTTTAAACATAATTATTTAAATTCTTACTGATAAAAACATTTAAGACCTTCCTCTTCAATAACACAACATATCTGAAATATTGCAGTTGAATTCCTGATGCATTTTGCAGTATTGACTTAATGTTAGGAATCGTGGATTTAACTGGATTGTCAAGGGGATGACAATTTAATTTGCACCATAGTCTCTAACTTTCTTGTAAACTACAAGTTTGGTCTAGGCAAGACTTTAAAAGACACAAGTGGAATTTTGTTTTCTTTCTTTGCAAATATAAGTCTCATAAGATACTGAATACTATATACTATAACATTTTTCAGGATGCAAAATATGAAAATGTATCATTGCTTGATTAAGATGATTACTATAAAAATGATTTCAAGTTGCTTTTCATATTAATAGTGAGTCCCATATTACCATTAGGATCCATTTTTTATTCCCTCCTTCACCAGTTATTACATTAACACATATAAAATAACAGGTTTCCTAATTTTGCTCAGACAATATGTTTGCCAGTCATTTTATTCTGCTTTTATAAATACTTACCTTTTTTCTGCATTGGATGATGCCATTGTGCAGTCAAAGATTCTTTTATCATTTTATTCAATGTGCTAATGAAGTATACCTATTGTTCTTGATTGTTGAAAGCTACTTCTGGCCCTATGATTCATAATCCCATGATCTTTGGAGTTATCCTGGCTCTTGTTTGGAATTAACTACCTCCCATGCACTTCTTATTTTCTTTAGAGGAAAACATTTGCAGGAATTGGCAGAGGAATATTAAAAATATTCCTCTTAAAGGAATATTGATTTTTTTTGGTAAACAGTCTCAAGATAAATAATGTTCAAATCTCACTTTTGTAATGATCTGTTTCATAGTACACAGAATGTGGAAGTTACACTTTGCATATTAAATAGCCCTTATAGTGTAAGCCTGACTGTTTGATCAGTAGTTATTATTTATTTAAACCTCTTTATAGGAATAATTTACCTGTTTATGATCTATGCTATATTTCCCATGAAAATTGACAATACAAACAAGATAATGGGACCCATTCTTAAATCCACTTAAATAAATTGTTTTTTAAAGACCTTGGTTCACTGCTTCCATTCAAACTGATACTGTTAATTAGCAATGAGCTGTATCTAATTCATTAAAGTCAGCCTGTAATATTTCTTCTTGAAAATGTCCATCAGCAATTCATATTTTTCCAAGTACATCTTGTAACATGACTGCTTTCTCTTAATAGTTTCTAATTAGTACTTAATGCAGACTCGAATAACTAAAACAGCTTTCTGCTTTCAGCTTAGACCAATCAGGTTTCCAACTATTTCATTTTTTAGAAACAACAGACAAAAATTGTAACATGATTCCAAATCTCTTAACCAGGTATACAGTCCTTTAAATGTGTATAGCTAATTTATATAAAATAGCATTAAAAGCCTTCTCACGCATTCACATTCTACACACAGGATTGCTTCAGCCTATAGTATATAAATTACTATATATTTGAACTTCTCCTGTTTCTCATTCCTAGTTTTGACATAGACTTCATCTAGTTCAGCATTTTCAAACTGAATGCCCAGAGCCTAGATGGAGCTAGAATGAATACATTTTTCCCAGGAGCCTTATTTTGAAAGATTTAACATTTAAATATGAAGATCACCCATACTTTTCTAAAAATAAAAATTCCTTTCCTGTTTGCTTGTTTTTTTTTTAATTAAATCCAGCTACTAGGCTTGATTACTTATGTTCTCTCTTGACACGATCCATTTTGACTAATTGATGTTTCAGATCAACTAGTCAAAGTGTTATTTCTCTTCTATTCCAGGAATTACCTGTAAGTTGAAAAAAATTGAGAACCTAACAAACTACAGTACTTTAATGGCCTTTCTAGGAAAT